TGGCCTGGAAATTGCATCATTCTTTCTGGTCGAAAGGGAGAGATTGGTCTTTCGGCCAGCCAAGCAGGCGGGTAGTCAAGTAGCCGAGCAGCGAACCTAACTAACTAACTAACATGGCCCATTACTCATACGCGTCCTCAATGACTGTCGACTGTGTCAGTGGATTGCAGCTCCAGTACATCATTATCCGCTCGCTTATCGCCACCCACACCCGAAATCATCCTCTCCAACTGCCATACCATTCCCACTCCACATTTTTGCTGTGCCTGGGGCATCTTATCCACAGGCTCGTCAACGTCAAGTGTCTGGCACTTGGTGTCTTTGGTGAATTCAGCCAGCCAAAGAGGATATCACACGGAGGACTCACTGTCTATGTCTGTGCCTTTGCATGTGTCAAGCGACTGCTAAAAGTCAGGCACACCGAGCGAGGCCGAAAAGTAGGCAAGCCTTTTTGAGCGGCAACTACAGTGAAATGCCGATTAAGTGAAGGCGAAATCAGCAAACTCAAAAAGGAAAAGGAATGCTGCCCTAATGAATAATTTTAAATACTTAACTAACTTTGCATTTTTAATTTTCAATCAGAATATATCTCTTAATTAATATCATATTGGCATATAAAATTTAATAACATTTTTAAAAACTTTTTAAGCTTAGATGTAGTCGAACTATTTTCAAAACATTCCCACTTCTCCAGACACGACTGTAGTCTCTGGCAGCAGGCGTGAAGTGTGAAAAGTGATGGAGGAGAAAAGAGTCTAGGGACGATAGCTATGTCTATGTCTTACTAAATCTTTGTGGAATTTATTTTGCCAGCTATTTTCAGTGATTTACTGTTTGCCCTCTCACTCTTTAACGCGGCCTGAGCTCATCTCCCAGTTGGTATTCTCCACTCGAAACAAACTTCAAGTTGGAACCACACAAACACACACACACCACTTGACAGAGTGTTAATGAGGACCCACACCCACACCCACACACACACATATGCAGACACTTCAATATATTGCGCCCTGGTTGCTTTCATTATACGTGTTATTTTCACAGCCGGGCCACAGTGCGTATGCGTAATTTTTGTCACTTATGTAGTTTGCAGTTTGACAACGAATCTCCCGTTCTTACCACTCCTCCCCTCCCCACCAAGTGTCAAGTGCTTGCAGCAGATTTTAATTTCGGCCACTTGATGTCTGGCTGGCCCCCGCAGCGATCCCCATCACGTTTGATGTGTGTGAAATACCAAAAAAAAAAAAAGGTAATAAAAAGAAAAGAAAAAAAAGGGAAGGAATTAAATTAAAATTTTAATTAAAACAAGCTCCCGTCTCCGGAAATTTCTGCACATCCCGAGCACTCAGCAAAAACAGCTTAAAGCCCCGGGCCAATTTAATGAGTGTGGCTTGGAGATATTTCTCGGAGGCTGTCAGCGAGCTGTTGGTCTGCGGCTTCATTGACAACTTTACGGCGTTCTTCTTAATGTTTATAGAAGATATGGGATGGGTCATTATGCCATAAGGCATCTTCCACTTGATAGTTGGTCAGCTTGGAGAAAGCTCTTTAAATTTGCTTTGATGAAATTTTTTATATTTATGCAATTAAAGTTTAAAAATAAAGTTAAGGAACTTATATATTATATTTCTATGATTTATTATTAGCAAAAATATATAATCTCTTTTGTAGATAATCTTTACATGCAGAAGATATGACAGGGATTTACCATGAAAGTTATTATAAAAAATGTTTTAAATTATTTTCTACAACTTCCCTTTAACTATATTTCAAATCAAAAATCTTCACTTCATTTAAGACGCCATAAATTAGCTGTTAACTTTACATTATCAAATAACTTTTAAATTACAAAATTGTTTTCAATAAACAATTTTATTGCGGTCTGACACCCAGCTGGAGATGCCACCTCCCAGGACCTTGTTGCCTTTGTCCGACCAAACTTGTCGGCTTCAGTTCAGCATCAGCATCACCACAGCATCATCATCATCATCATCTTAGCTATCAGCTAATGACCCTGGAAAATGGCCAAAACAAACGATAGCCGAGGCGAGCCCAGCAGGGGGCTTGGCTGGTAAGTAACGAGGATTAAAGGCGGCTTCCAGCAATTTTCAACGTCATAAATAATATTTCAATAAATTTATATTTACCCCGGCACCCGTTGAGCGCTTAATTGTGTTAAGATGACAATGTCTGCTTAAAGTTAGTGTGTCTATATTGTGGCTGCCACTTACTCGTATATGTGCTGGGAAATCATGTTGCACGTTTCATTAAGATTAAGTTCGACGGGCAGCAACTTTCCGATGCACCTTCATAATGCCGGACAATGCAATCGGAGAAAATAAAAAAGAGGAAAAGCGTAATAATCGAATTGATTTCCTTCATGCAGCATTCTCCTTCTCTTTTTTTTTGATTTAACCTCGCTGCACAATGTGCTTAGCAGATTTTCTCACTCTGTTCGCCATTCACGTCCTTTGTTTTCGCTTGCCAATTTTTGCTGGCCAGCGAAATGAAAATTGAAAATTGAATATTTCCGGCGACACAATGGGATGGCCGCAACAAAAGCAGCGACAACAGCAGCTGAAAAGCAGTTTTGCTGACCTAACCACACAACCCTTGCCCTCGCTCTCTCTCTCTCTCTTTGATTCTCCCGATTTTCCCTCAGATTTCCCGCTTTTCCAAATTCAAGCGTGCGATTTTTGCCTTGCTTTTCTTTTTGCAAATCGAAAATTGCATTGCTGAGGTAAAAATGGAGAGCTGCTTGGCAGCAGGAGGGTCTGGCAAAATATGGCAGCAAGCGGAAACGGAAATAAGCCAAGCGCCTTTAGCTGCTTCAGATTTCGAGAGAGACGGTTGAAAGCTGTTCGACTTTGAGTCCCCAGTGAGGCGATTGAGTACGATTCCATGAAATTCGTAATAAGAGTGGAAGGAAGAAGGGTTTTAGGGGAATACGACTAGCCATATATAATATATAAATTGTATTTTAACTTTATATTTTTGGATATTTACTTAACTTATATATCAGAATGATAGGAATATGATTTTTTAGTTGAATTGATCTTAACATTTAGCCATATCGAAGATAAACAATGTATAAATTAGCATTAAAACAGATTTAAATCTTGAATAAATAAGCTTCCCATTAGCCATCAAAACTAAAATTCCGCAAAAATCCTTGTCATTTTATAGTTATTTGGATATTTCCAGGAAATCAGGATATGCTGTGACTAAATAGTACAACTTTTAAATACATTTTTATACATTTAAATTTATTAAGTTCCTTTCTCCAAACTGAAGTATCTGTGAGATTCCGATGACTAAGGATATAAACTGGCAAAGAGTACGAGGAAACTTCTCATATCTCATAACATTTTCAAGGTCGGTTAGTGTAATTTAACCAAACCTCTAATCCTGAACCCACAGCACTATATGTTCCCATGTACATAGTCACGTAGATATAGTCACATGCATATCCTAAGTACCTTTATCGAAAAGAACGAAGGGGATTATCCCACTTTGGCCACAATTTAATTACATTTGCCACACAAGGGAGCCCCTCTAAGCTCCCGCAGCGCGTTAGAGAACCGCTGGGGCATTGAATTAAACTGACATTAAAATAGATTCCAAATGGAAGGCAAGTGGGGTGGGTGGGGAGTAAAGAAATGCAAACAACCTCTCAAACGGGAGGAGATGGGTGTTATCTCTTCTTTTTTTTTAGGTTTGCCGGGGCAGTGCATTAAATCCACCGCAGAAAACAATGCACAAATCCTATTTGAGCGCAGCTTGCAATTAAATACATTCTGGTGGGGGCGGGGGGTGGAAAGGGCGACAAATGGGTCGCTGGTGGGCTTCAAAGTTGCTAGTGGTTTTTAGGTTGCCAGAGTGGTAGGACACACATGAGTCCCTGGGAAGGACCACTATAGCCGGAAGTACACAAATCGCATAAAACCCAAAAGGGGGCACAAGGAGCTGTTGTGGGTCCGAAAAAGCGAGTGACATAAAAAGTAAACAGCGTTGACACTGATTCAAAAATGTATTCAAAATGCGCTCCAAAAACCGGAGAGAGAAATGGCTAGCTGGCGGGGTAGGGAGGCTAAAGGATTTTTTCCGAGGGAGTACATAAAACCCTAGATGGGCCAAAATGGTACCATAAAACCCAGGACTCTCTCCCGTTGCCCCTTCACTCTTTTAAGCCGCATTACAAGTGCAGGAAGCTCTCTGAATCGGGATTACGAGTAGCCAAAATGCAGCTGGGTCCAACATTCGTGGCCAAAAAGTACAAAAAAAAGTCGAAAAATATGGGTTGAGGGGGTGAGAGGACCCCCAAACGAGGTTCAAGGGTCAACAGCGAGTAAACAAGCGACTTTGCGGCGCTTTTCCCCTGTTATCGAGAGCGTCCATTTGCATGTGTTTTTTTTCTTTTGTTTTTGCCAAATTTATGCCAAGTGTCTGATAATTGAAACGGTCGAGGGGCAAAAGATAATGCCAAATGCCAAAATGGGAAACAAAAGGGAGTTGGCTTACGGAATGGGCCAAAGGAATGGCAAGGCAAATGGAGTGAAAAGTCTTAACCACAGCCATTGGGTATTGAAGTGCAGATTAAAGTTTCTGAACCGCAGCACAGCAAGCTGACTACTTAAGGTTATCGGGAAAATCACAGTTTATACATTACTTGAATTTTGAAAGTGGAAAATATGTTTAAAGGAAGATTTCTTGATATTAAAAGAAGTTTTTTAATTTTCAATATATTTTTATATGAAAATTGTTGAATATTTAAGGTAACTAAAACTACTTCTAAGAGAAACATAGTTTAATTCTACGAAACTAATCAGAGTTTCAGATACATACATCTGGTTTCTGGATCACCTAGTCACTAACTATTGAAAATGTACCCACACCTAACATTTTCTCAAATAAAAAATATAAAAGTATTTTTCTTTCTATTCCCATCATCACATTCAGAAACCAGTTTTGACTAGTTTCTCTACAAAATAGACATTTAACTCAACATAGCAAAAACATTTCACCCTCCAAAAACAATTTTGAAATAGAAAGGAGAAGATGTCTCGCCGTTCGACTTCTATATTGGCCAGTGGCAAGGAGTCTATTAGGGACAAAGATGACAAGAATCGTCTGGCCCAACTGGATGCCATTATCAATCAGTTGAAGACCCAGAATCTGGGTAACCGGAGAGCTGGTAACCTGACAGATGCCACTATAGCCTTTATATGCAGCTCGTGCCGTGAGCTGTTCCTATCCCAACCAATGCTCCTGGAACTGAGTGCTCCGGTGAAGATTTGTGGGGATCTGCATGGTCAGTTCAAGGATCTCTTGAGGATATTTCAGCAGTGTGGTATCCCACCCGCATCCAATTACCTATTCCTTGGAGATTACGTGGATCGTGGTCAGTGCTCTTTGGAAACCCTGACCCTGCTGTTGACCTACAAACTTCGTTATCCGGAGACCTTCTTTTTGCTGCGTGGTAACCACGAATCGGCGGATGTTAATCGGGTTTATGGATTCTTCGACGAGTGCAAACGGCGTTATAATGTGAAAGTATGGCGTTGCTTTGTGGATTGCTATGACTGCATGCCGGTGGCTGCCATTATAGCGGATCGTATTTTCTGTGTCCACGGCGGATTGAGTCCGGATCTTAAGCAACTGGATGATATCCGGCGACTGCATCGACCCACCGATGTGCCTAGTGATGGACTGCTGTGTGATTTGCTCTGGTCGGATCCGGAGGAGACAACCGGAACCTGGGCGGCCAATGATAGGGGTGTCAGCTATACCTTCGGCCCTAGCATAGTGGAGAGCTTCCTGCTCCAGTACAAATTCAACTTGATTGTACGCGCCCATCAGGTTGTGGAGGATGGCTATGAGTTCTTTGCCGATCGCCAGCTGGTAACCATCTTCTCGGCTCCCAATTATTGTAATATCTTTGATAACAGTGGCGCTGTTCTGGTGGTGGACCCCAATCTGGTCTGCCACTTTGTCATCATCCGCCCAAGGCCTGCGATGCGGCCAACTGGCTTTGAGTCGGACAGTGGTTCTACGAATGTCACAGGACCACCGGCTTTGAGCAGAGAGAAGAAGTTGTTGTAGAGGTTCTAACTTGAGGTATTTTGGAATAAGGGATAGAAATTATTATGCAATAATACTACCAAAATATGTAACTGTTTTTGCTCTGAATAAATATGGAAAAAGAATATATTTATATTATTTTTTCTTTTCAAGTCGTAATGCAAAGTGATTTCATACAACTTTTCTATAGATGACTATAATTAATGGCTATAATTACAAAAATCCGCCCTTTTTGCCTTCTTTGTTTTGCTTGGAATCGATAATAACGCTTTCAATTGTGGCTTAATCGAAGGACAATTGAAGGTCACATCAGAGCCGAGCCGAGCAGCCAGCAAAGAAATATGTAATAAATCTTCATTTAAATTTAATTAAAATTCCCAATGACCGAGCGGATGGGTGGGGGCGAAAGAGGATTGACGGGCTATCCGCTGGAAATGGGGACAGAAATCAGGCTCACCCCAGACAAGGGGGTGGCGGGTACAAGAAGTACAAAAAGTGAGGGTCAGAGGTTAACAGCTTGGCAGGTGAATGAGGTGGCGGTGATGTTGGTGGTGGTGGCTTTTGTTTGACTTTGTAAAATGTCTACCTGGCCACACTTTATGCCAGGGAAAATAATTCCATGCGCAAATATTTAAATGTGGCCGACGGGAGAAGCCGTTTTGGCCCGAAGGCGGAGGCTCTGCCAGGCTTCTGCCGGCCCGCAGGCAAACTCATTTTGTTTACAAAAACCAAGCATCGTAATTTATACATTCATGTGTGTAAACATAAACAAAAGGTTCCAAGCCAAGGAAAAGCGCCAGGTGAAAGAGGTGGAGGGCGGGGAGGCTAAAGAAAATAACTTTAATAATCTTGGCAAACACAAATAACGCCCAAGTGTGGGTGTGTAATTACACAGAGCGGCAGTATGTGTGTGTGTGTGCGTAGAAAAACAAGCAACTGTCTGTATAAATATTTATTATGTGTTCAATTGCAAGGGCCAAAGGCATTGGCAAAATGAGGGTGGCGTATACGTGATTTCTGATGCACAGCCGGCACATAAATCACATCACATATTTGTGGCTGCCTGCGGCCATTTTGAATTGTAATTAATTTGTAATTTTTTGTACATATTTATCGAACAATTTTATCCCATTTAAATCAATTGCATAGCGATTTTGTTCAATATTTTATGGCCAGCGTGTAAATTATGAATTACAAATGTAGCCCGAAAGTATGCAACATTCGTTGGAATTCCTTTGATATGGATTCTCCCTTTGAAGCCAAATAAAATATTGATCAAGTTGAGGGCCATCTTTTCACACTTTCAAGATTTCCCTTATTTTTTTTACACCCTTTCCACACTTATATGGTCCTAATAAAATAAAAACCGTAAGCCGAACGAAGCCAAGACACTTGCCTTTATGGGCAACAAAAACTTTATGTCGGCCGTTCCAGGCGCGTAATACTAAGAAAAAGAAAAGGCTGAAATTAAATAAAAATGTAAGAAACGACGAAATGATATGGGGGGCACTTAAAGGTGCCACATGTCGGTGGGGCAGACGAGGATGCGGGGTAAATAGCTTCCAACAGGACAGATGATGTATAAAAATGTCAACGGCAACAAGAGGCAAACTTGTAAGTGTCAGGACGAGATGCGGAAAACTTTACCAAACGGTGTCAAAACATAAAACGAAAATTAAGCAAAAGCAAAAAAAAAGGAAGCCGCTTCCCGGACTTTTTTAGTGGCCTTACCTCTGGTCCTGACACCTGCGCACATCCTTGAGGATGGCCAGGAAATGAGAAAATAAAGAGAGCAACGCCACGACTTGGGCATGGGCTACCTGCATCTGAATCTGATGGTTGATAGCCATAAAAAATACCTCCAGTTTTCCTTCTCGCCATCTTAAAACTCAGCCGTTACCGTTATACTTGAAGGTTATTGAGGGCAGGTTACACTGGGTGGGTTTTGGGTTTGGTCTTGGTCTTGGTCCTGGTCCTGGGAATCCGCAGTGGAGCGCAGTGGTCCGTGTCCCAGTTGCTCCTCTGCCTGCGATCCCCAATCTAATTGGCATGCAAAGGTCGTCGCCAGCTGTCCACGCAAAAGAGTCGCCCTTGATGATGACCACTTTGGGCGGGGGTGGGTGGTACTCTGGTAGAGGAGGGGGTAGTTATTTGGGCTCTTGAAGGTATCATTTTTAAAGCTGTATTCTTCCATTTAGCTTGTAGTTTGCGATCTTGATTTGGAAATTAAAAGAGTAGAAGTAATGCAAATATTTGTTATCTAAGTCCACGCTGGGAAGATATACTTATGGAGAAATCATAAGTTATGTGAATTTTATAGGCAATAAAAGCATTTCCTCAATACCGACATTAAGTTCTAAAAACTCTTCCTAACTTAACTCTAATGTTTTTTAATAACAAACACACTAATATATTTTCCTCTTTTTTTGGATAGCTAACATGAAACATAACATTTTTTTCTTTACATGATATAAAATAAATTAACTTAATTTTCTTTGTTTTAATTTTCCTACATGACTTATGTTACATTTTTGGAAGGATTCTAATCCTAATCCTCATGTGGTGAATAATAATTGTATTCTTATTCCATATAAATTTATTAAACTATTAAACACTTTCATTTATACTTAAAAGATCTAAGAGATTTTCTCGAGTAATGCCTTACTTTTTCCTTGCGTGTATCTTAATTACCCTTTAGACAACTTTCCCGTTAACCGATTCAGTTGCTTACATAATGCAGAATCAAAACACGGCCTTTGTTTTTGTTGTCCTCGACCACGTGCGTTTTCCAAACTGCGAACAGCTGATTTGGCGTAAACAAAAGTCAGATGGTTCCGGAGAGAATATTGGAGAGCAGAAAATACGCACAAATCAGAGCTTTCACGCTCCCCGGAGTAAGGGCTTTACCGATTCGCTCAGTTTTCTCCCGTCGGGAAACCAGCTTCACTTTCATTCAGAGCTTCGTTTTTCCGTTCGTCTTGGGCTTCGCTGTTTGCCAGAGAAATCTGAAAAAATCGGCAGTTTGCCGTGGCAAGTCGAAGCCTGAGGTCGTCTAGCTTGGATTTTCCTATATATATTCGTATATATATATACATCAATCGGATTTTCCTATAGCAGCTCCATAAATTCGCGCTCAGTTCGTCTGCAGAAGCCAGCAGAAGCGGTTGAGATTGGTCCGTAATTTCTGTGACGACCTGGAAAATCGTGGTGTTGTGTCTGTGGTGCGTGTTTCTCAATTGTGTAATTGTAATGGATGTCCTTCGTTAAGATTAAATATTAAATTCTCAATGCTCAATGCTCCGTGGCTGGCGCCATCTCACGGCTATACGCTATAAGCCGTCCTGACTCCATGGCGGCTACGTGATTTTTTATAAAGTGCCTCTGCAAATACCAAATAAGAATAAAACAAATACAAATATATATATATATATATGAAAAAAAAGGAAAAACGCGTGCCACATCCGTCAATGGCCATCAGAATGTTGCCCTTCCCCTTCCCCTTCCCCTACCCCTTTTTTTTTTTTATTTTCGTGTGCGTTTCCCTCGGTTGGCTTTTGTTTTTGGTCCTTGTGTTATTCTTTAGCAGTTTTTGTCCCTTTTTCGCCATATGCCACATGCCACACAACTGAATTTGGCCCGATTTTGATTTTTATTGCCGCCGCCCTTTGCTGCTGTTTTTTGTGTTGTGTTTTTCGCCGCTCCCCTCGAAGCGTTTGCATAAATAATTGAATGCGCCTAGAGGTGCAATAAAAACCCGTGCGACCCATTGAAATGTTGGGCCAGGCCAGCTGAACCCACAAAAGGAGTCCTGCGCTTCGGTTGTTCCCCCAATTGGCCAAGCAGGCATTCATCATTGAAATAACCGCGGAATGGGTTTATATTTTTAATGTCGTATCCGATATATAGAGCCCGATGGGTCGAGGGTCGAGAGGGAGAGATATCTATCAAACGATTAAATGAACTCAATATGAAAGTTGAATCGTATGTTTTTTGCCACATAGTTCATAAACTGCATTGTAAATCATGTAATGTGATAAGAGAATCATAAATATTAATCACTGACGATGGCGATGCACTAAAAACTGAATTAAAAATCAATAAATGAGCAGCCTTGAACTGGCATTAACAGCTATTAAAATAAAAGCCCTGTTTGATACCCACCCAACTTGTGACGTCACAAGTTATATTTCAATCTGCCCGAAAAATCCCTCTTTAAAGTTATTCCAAAGCAAAAAAAGAAAGCGTCACCGAAATATTTCAGCCACATATTTCTTGGCTGGCTCACGTCGCCAGGTAGCAGGACTGAGTCCGTGTTGGTGTTGGTGTTGGGCCCGTGTCCTTTTTGGCTCGTTGGTTGGTTGACCTCCAGGCACCACTAATTGCTGCAATTTTTCAAGCTCCACAGAGCGTCGCCTGCCCCTAGTTGGCTGCCAGAAAAAAGTATTTTTGCTTTGCATTCCCTTATTTTTTTTTTGCCTTTGCCAATTTCCATGGAAATGCAACTGTGAATTTTTGATATTTATCAAACGAAAAAAAAAAAGAAATGTAAAAAAAGTAGAAGGATGAGAAGACGGCGGAGAAAACTGCGAAATTTCTGTGGTCGTCCTCGAAAAGTCCTTGACATGTTGGCCCCATCTAATGGAGAATGATTGCCAACAGTTCGCCTCCTGGGATTTAACTCATTTTTCAGTTCCCACTGGATTTTGCCCATGACTAATGATGACCAAACAATGAGCCATTAAAACATGTTCACAAAAACCAAACATATATGTATTGTTTTCGAGAAAAAATCAATTATTGAGTAAATTGGTTTTTAATTAATAGCAAATATGGCCTACTAAATGCGCAAAATTATAAGCGAGATTAAAATGAAAATATTTGCAGACATTAAGCACGGAAAAGCTTAACAAATATTTGCCGAATTTGTTATCCTTTTTCCTTTTTTTTAAATACCAATAATATTTAAACAGGAGCATACGAGCACGGGAGATGAACGAATAAAATAAATAAAAATTAAGTGCAAATCAGAGATACAAACGGGAATTGTGAAAGTGAAGTGCGAATTCCGAAATGCAGCAAAGCAAACGCTCCAGCGAGTTGTGGAATCAATACCAATACCAAAACCGTAACCAAAACCGTAACCAAAGTCAAGGATCCAGTGGAGTCGCCCGTCGACGACCGACGATGGGCCGGAACAAAGGAGCAGCAGCCGCTGCCGGATCAGGAGCAGTCAACTGTGGCCTGTTGATGCTCCTGCTGCTCCTCCAGCTGGTGGGTGAGCGCCTGGCTACGCCATCGCCCTCCTCGATGCAGGCGCCACAGAAAAGAGGTAAGTGCTGCTCAATGCACAGGCAGAAATCAATTCAATTCTTTCTTAGAATTCCCTAATTTGAGGTTTTCTGATTTTTATTTGGCTTTTTAACGCCATTTCTTAACAGTTTTCACAATTATGGCCATCTGAAATTGTCTTTGGCAAAAATGTTTTAATTGCTTTTTATATCATTTCATTAATTACCATAAATAACGACCTGTTTGGTGATTTATTCTTCATTATAATGTGTTAATGGGCTCTTGGCACTCGAATTTGAACAGCGGTTAATTTGACTTTAAATAGAATTATCTGATAAATCAGGAATAGATTTATATACAAAATGTATAACAAGTTAAAATGAAAGGAGTATCATTGAAAATTCCTGTCTCAATAGCCTGTTACGTTCCATCAACTTCTCTGTTTAAATATTTAAGAAAATAACTTAAAATTTAATAAAATTTCAAGTATATTTTCGTTTAGTTTCTGCCATTTCTTTAAGTGCAACCACTGTGGTTCGAAATGGCAAATAAATGTCAAATAACATAGCTCTAACCGCCTCAGTTGGCCCCCTTCTCATATGGCTTGTGTGTTTGCTGTGTTGCGGGTAAATACTCGTAGGCAGGACAAAAGGCGCACCACGTTGCGTATACGTTACGTTGCCATGGCAGCCGCGCCGCTTATGTTGCTGGCATTGTTGTTGCTCTAGCTGGAGCACTAGTCGAGGAGGCTGAGGCTGATTCAGAGGCTGGTGGCAGTATTTTATTAACATTACATTGCTTTCAACTCGGCCTGACATAATAGAAAATTGAATTGCCACGCTGGTTGTGGGGAGAGACGGAGAGAGGGAAGGAAAATGGGCGGAATGGAAAGTGGGAGGACATTTGAACCCAGAGCCATCACAACTCAGAGGGAACCCAAGGCTAACCGCTGCCTTCGACCCCGATGGCAGCTCTGCAAGTGATGCAATTAAGTGAACAGCTCTGAAGGATGCAAAACATAATTGAAGCCAGAGTGCCATGAGGTCCTGGCATGCGATAATGATGAGAGATGATGGGCCATCGGAATGTTGAGTAGCTGCTAGAGCTGCTGTTGCTGGAGAAATCGAAGTGGTCTTTAATCCGTTTTCTTATGGAGATATATTCTTTGTGGTCCTCCGTACTATTCGTTGAACAGAATATAAGCCGCTTTGGGAACTAAGTAAAGGGAATCCTTCCTGAAATTTGTGGACGGAACTTAAGACATAATTCCAAATAATTTTTGAAGTTGGTAAATGATTAAAATTTTAATGTATCTCCCATCAAACAAGAACTGGACCATGACCAACCGAAGAATGTAAATTCAAAGTAAAATTCTTGGAAAATATCCATCAGGGAGTTGGATTTCTTCTCGGCCTGCCCAGCTTTTTGCCTAGGCTCCATTGCTTTTCCTGTTTTGTCTTGTGAACTTTATTTGCGCGCTGCTCCATTGGCTGCCAGGATGCTTGGACCACATTGCCCCCGTTCCCGCTCTCTCTCTCCTGTCCCCGCTCCCCGTTCCCATCCCACTCTCCCCGTGAACTTTTGCTTTCATTTGACGCTGGGGAACAATATTGTACCGAGTCGGGTGTCCTTTATTCATTCTTCTTGCGCTGCCAGATGCCGCGTCTCGAGAGCTCCCACAACATGCTTCATTTTATTATGCAACAGCCAACGAAAAAATATAGGAAAAAATACAGAAAACTTGCTACTTTATAGGGCAATATATATACTCATAGAAAAACAAAAAAGAAAGCCTGGAGCGGGGAAAAAAACTTGACGCGACATTGTCGTAAATAAGAGGCAAAAACTTTGGCTTTGTTTTGCCAAGGAGCTGGGAAAGCGGCGGGAGAAAGTTGTGAATGAATATGATAAGTTTCCGCCTCGACTGGTGTATTGGAGGCACCGCTGGATTGGCCATGTGTGGACAGCCGTCATAAATTTCCAGTGCTAATCCAATGTGGGGCCACACTTTATATAGGTGAAGTGAACTTTATGGATACTTGAACCAGCCCCCTCTCCCGTAAGTCGCAAAGTTTTATGGTTTGCCAAGCGTGAAATATGCAACAAATTGGGGGAAAGAAAAAGCCACAAGGAAAAGCCCAAGATTTCCACTAGTTTCTTAAGCTTAGCGCTTGGATTTTGCGTGGTTTTAATCTAGAAGCTAAGAAATATAGACTTTTAAGGTCCCTAAAATGAGACAATAGAATGTAGAAAAACATTTATTAATCACCCGCCTAAACCACTTGCCTAACTTCAAAGAAATGCTTAAGGTAGTACACCTGCAATATGGTCGTGATGATCAGCATCATGGGTGCAAAGATAGACCACGAAAGAACCCGAAACTCCACCGTATCACTGAGTTCCACGTGACCGCGATAGCGAAAGTGCATGTACTCCTGCTCCATCTTCACGGCTCCCAGCTTGGCAGAGAATTGGTTGACCGTGTACTGGACCGTGGCCTGTTCCACGACATCGTCTTTTCGTTTAGCGGGATCCGAGTAGAACTGAAGGGGTCTGGCCACATGGAACTGGAACATCAATACCTTAGGGGTCAGCGTGGACATTTCGTTGTCAAAGCACAGTTGGTATAGGCCATCCTTCATGGCCGTGAAGGTGAAGCTGCCCAGGGTTTCCTGTTCGGAGTAGTGGAGGCGATCATCTCCCGGTGCCGAGATCTCTACACCCACGTCCTTGAAGCCACCTTCCATGACCTCAAAGGATATGGTAACCTTATCGTTCACATTGGCGTGATCGTAGAAGCACTCCTCCTCATGGGCATCCAGTGTGATGATGAAGCCACAAGCTGCTTCCAGCAGCACCAAGATTATCACAATAACCGAAAGCATTTTCGATTTATTTTGTTTTTGGGATATGTTGATGTGTAGATGACGTATACAGAATCAATTTGTGTTTGTAGAGGGATTGGAAAAGTAAAGAGAAGACAGTTGGTCCCACGGCCACTCCCATCGGAGCTGAATAATTGAATGCTGTGCTAATTTAACCAGCTTCGCTTCATTATCGAACTGCCTGGCCGACGCAACCTCACTCCTGACCCATTCAGCAAACACCCTTCAAATCAAATTAAGATGATAAAAGCAAATTGCAAATTGTCAGATGCCCGCCTGCCTGCCCAACTGCCATGCCCCCAAAGTCGCCCCCTTGGCAATGCATATTTGATGTTATCGATTCCTTAGCCCATCAATTGTCAAAATGTCATGCATTTTTAATGCCATCTGGGCGGGCGGACATACATTTGGATTTTCCGCAAAATCATTCTTCTCTCTGCCCTGTGCTCTGCTTTCTGCTCTCTGCCATTGCGATTTATAAATCTCTCTTTTGTGCAATAAATTTAAATGCAAAATACATTTCAATAGTTCCATTCGCTTTAAATGCATTCAAAAACTTATCTAGTCATAATTATTTTCGGTTGTAATTTCAGTGCCTTGTCTGTGGCGAGAATGCTGAAGTGAACAAAAATTTTGTGCAATCATTTCGGGCGAAAATTGTTTGCCTCAGTGAAATCAAAACTTTTGTTAATGTAATTTCGCTAATTGCCGCGTAAAATATTACCCTAGTTGGCCAGGGTAATAACTGTTATTAAAAGATATTACCAAAGTTTTCATAATATTTTTGTAAATTTTATGATAATGCATTAAATGGCATGGAAATTCATCCAGCTTTACGGCTGTGTTTGGTCATGTGAAACCACACAAATTATCGCCGTTCCAGCGAGAAGCCAAACAAATTGATTCAATTGCGATAAAAATGTACTTCCATTCAACAATTTGTTTATCGCCTGGAAACGAAACTCCTTTCGCCCGGCCACTCACAGTTTATGTCGCACCTTAAAACAATTTTACGAGTCGCCAGTTCGACGGCGCAACGAAAACTCCTTCAACTCCACACGGACCCTTAACTATTTGCAAAATGTTCTCGCACCCTTCAGAATGTTCTCCCCCCTCCTTGTCCTCCCTGCTATTCCTATCTCTCTCCCTTCATAGAAACATTTTACAACTATTTGCTGTCTGCTCTACTTAAACAATTTTTTCGCCTCGCTTTGCTTGTTCTTGATGGGTTTTTTTTTTCGATTTTTTCCTCAGTTCGTTTGTAGCCCGCACTTTTGAATATCCTTTATGATATTCAATTTCAAATTCTAATGCTTTAAGCGATTAAGTACACGCTTTACGCCACTTAACTCCATGTCGCCCGCTTTCGACGGTGTCAGGCTGCCCTTCTGCTCCTCAGCTCCTCTGCTCCTTCTGTTCAGATCCTATCCTGATCCTATCCAGTTTCGTCCCCACCCATCCGATTCGCGGTATTTGCCGACTTCAGTTACTTTAGGCGCCAGGAACACTTGATGCCTGCCTTTGCCCCTGCCTATTATTCACTGAGAATAATATTTGGAAAGTTTATATGTTCTCAGTTAATGCTAGCCGAAGGCATTAGATAGCTAGTTTAGTTTACACTTTTTGTGGTATACTTTGTATGAACTTATGAATGTTCTTTACTGTTTCTTGAACATTCTCTTAAAAATCTCCCCTAGAAATATTTCATAAAAACTTAAATATGTCAAAGGAAAAGGTTAAGGGACTTCCATTTAGTTTTTGAACTTGAGTTAATGTCTAATTGTTTGAATTTCTAACAAATTTTCCTCTCAGTGTGCACCTTCTCCTGTACCATCCTGTTTTTTTCTGTTCCTTCCCACCCGCCGTGTCGACATGACATCGACGCTCTTAAGTGCCAGTTCGAGTTGGCCCCGCCACTGAATTTCCCTTTCTTTCACTTTTTGTGGGCCGTGCTCAAGGACTTTTTGCTGGATATTTCATGTGCGTGCAGCAGCTTAGGAGCAGATGTGCGTGTAGGTGTGGCTCTGGGATGAGGAACTCCACCCTCCCTTCAATCCCCGAATGGAGTAGGGTACTGATTTCCGTTTCCAACGATTGGGCCTGACTTAAAGCGGCTTAAATTACGTATACGCCCAGGCGGTCAGTCGACAGTCTGTGGATAATGGCCAGGCGATTTCCTCTTTTTTCTCTTTTTTCCAGTTTTGCCGTCTTTGTCCCCTTATTTTGCATTTTCTGCAACTATTTTTTGTACACCTCGACTAGTTTGGGCATCCACTCAATTATTATTATGCCGCTTGGGGGAAAAGTTGCCATAGACTCACGTGCCTTCGGCTTTGATCTTCTCCTCTGTCCTCTAGTATTTTTCTGTGTGTTGGGTTACCTCCCTCTTTTTCCTTCGTTTTCTTCATCAAATCGCTTTTGTGGTCAGGCCATTCGTGCGTGTTCTAATTTGTTTGCAACTCTACGTGTGTGTCTCTTGTTGATTGCCACTCATATCCCCCCGTGAAACTCGCATACCCACCCTCGCTTAGGGTCCACTTTTAATGCCCTTTTAAAGGTGCAAATGATTTCATTTTGGTGCTTTACTTTTTATGTCTCTCGGAATTAGCTCCATTTTTTACATCGTTAAACGTGATGAAATTGCCTTCATTTTGGGTAAATTTAGCAATTAAGTTGGGGCTACTTATTAGGTAAAAAGTCTAAAAACTTTGGCTAGATTGATACTATCTATATAGAGTTTTATGTATATGCTAAGTGAATGAAATAAAGATTAATTCCACAATGGATAAAGTTTTACTAGAAAGTACTCTCATGAGTTGTATCTTTCAATTTGTTTGTAATAAATCTCTCATTTCCTTAATTTATGCCCAAAACCTTTTTTTTGAATTAACACAATCTATTTATGCGACCCACTTTTGTTAGATATAATGTTGGCTTTACCATTTCCTGCCTCATTGTAAGCGACTCAAATCTTTATTTGGCAAACAACTCAAAGAAATCGAGGCAAAAAGGAAAACAGTTGAACAAGCAAACCAATCGAACTGATAAAAGGGGGCCGCATCCTTGCCATAAGCTGCACAGGAATCGTGCTAATCTCCACTTGAAAAACACTTGACAAGGGGCTGGGAAGAGCTAAAGGGAAATGGAAAAGCCATGAGAAATGAGCCGAAGGCAGCCAGTGAATGAGCTGTAAAAAGGCTCAAGTATTGACAATGCCTTTGGTCTTCCATGAGATATCATCCGCCCACTTTCTCCATCCGCCTATGTATGTGTATGTGTGTGTGTGTGTGTAATGGGCTAATGGGCGTGGCAAAAGTGGGACATGACAACAAATTGGCAAATTTCGTACTTTTTTCGAGCTCGCTTTTTCCAAATGTGTGTGTGCGTGTGTGTGTGTGTGTTCTATGCGTGTGTTTGTGAGGATTTATTTCAATTGAAAGTGCCGCCATGAGCTGTCAACATGAATCCCTTAGCCAGACTCTAGCAATAAGTCAGCTAACGAGCTTCAATGAGGCATGCCAAGTATTTCCGGTACACTCACTCACACACACACACGCAGTAAGAGAGCGAGAGAGGGTTAGAGAATGAGTGAGATGGAAAGATCAAATAGCTTGGCATTGAAGTTGGTGCTGCATTTTCGTGTCCCAAAATTTTTGCTATGTGTTGGCATGAAATTTACATTAGAATTTCCTTCTCTGCTTCTCTCCTGCTACAATTTCCATTCACAAACAAACAGGGCAGAAGAAGATGCCAGCAGCAGCTCTAAGGACATTTTGCATAATTTTGCGCAATTTTCAGAGCTGTAATTTCAACAACATTTCGCAGTCAAATTAAATTGCCTGCCAAACGATTCTGTTAATGTCTGCATTGCTATTTGCATTTGACGTTTGTTAGTTAATTTAATGTTTGTTTTTACTGCGAGATGCGAGATTCTCGTATATATATATATTTCAGTCTAACCCCTCCTCTGTATCAACTGCCTTTGCTAATTGGCATCGGGTTTCTCCGGTTAAGCCCACTCAATTAGTCCAAGTTTTCGGGCCAAAGAAGTTTCTGACGCTTGCGGCTTTTCCAGGGAAACCAAAACGCTTTTCCCCCCGGCCACAATCACTCGAACACACAATAGCACTGAAAGAAATTTTATAACTGAATTTGTTGATTTATCTTACAAATATATAAAATAAAATAAACTTGATAACTGGAAACGAAATTCTAACATAAATTCTGAAGGAGAGTTTAAATTAATGAAAGGTGTCTGAAAGTATGCAACAAAAATTATAAAAATATTCCTTCCTTTAATAATGTTATTCAAATCCAACATATTTCTGCATTATCTCAAATCTCAATTTGAATTACTAACTTTTCCCAGTGCACCCACATTCTGGCGTCTCTCTGTATCGTTGTGAAGCATTTGACATTTGCAATTTTGCGTCACGCTTGGCGGACAGGCAAAAAGGTTTCTGTGGCTTTTGTGGCTGTCACTTGGCGACCGATTCGATGGCATTTGGACACTGGACTTTGGCATTCATATTGAACAGCTTTCGGCTTTGATTGAACTTAAATGAAGCTTGATGCGGTTAATGGGGTTGAAATGCCATCGGGATGTATGCTGATATCAATTATGTAAAGTGCAGAGTCGAAGAAGTGAAGAAGTTAGAAATGGAAGGAGAGCTTCTTCTTGTAACTCCTCTTGAACCCCCCATCCTAATCTCCATATAAATCTTAAATTTCTTAGCAATAATACTTCATTTAAATTGCTCGGCACACACGCATCTCATTTGGTGTAGCAATTTTATGCCCTACAGTCGTCACATAAATCAAATGACAAACTCAATGATAATCACTTTGGCACAACGGCGCATTCAATTAACAAATGTTGCCTGGCAACAATAACAATAACCAGGCAAAATTTAATTAAATATTCCTTAAACAGCAAACAGCAGCAGCAGCAGCAGCAGCAGCGTGACGAGGAGTGAAGGGGCAGATATGCAGATTGAATTAAGTTTTATTCTTCACGCCCTTTTTCAGGGTGTCAAAGGGGGGCGCAATGGCAACGGG